GACCTGACACTTGAACAGAAGCTCTTATGAACACACGCTGTAGTTATCGCTTCACGCGCTCCACCATGAAGACTTACCGGAAGTGTTCCCACAACGTGCGGCTGCTGACCAATGGCGCGAGCTTTCGTCAGGCTCACGAGGCGGCGCTTAAGAGAGCGAGCTGCCTCTGGGCTTCTCGCGAGACTCCATAGGTGTATATATCTATGGCGAGACTCTTGCTAGTAGCTTCAGGCGACCTCCCAGCTGTTGATGTTGTGCTCATATATGTCTGCGGTTGCGCTAGTGACGATGTTACACACTCCGATACAGTAGGAGGCGGCATCCAGCTTTACCGTCGGCTTGTATCCCACCAGAAAACTACAGAGGAAGAAGAAGAAGAAAAAGAAGAAGAAGTTGCTGTTGTGCTGTCAGATTAGTGAAGGGAGCAGGAGCCAAATGGCTAAAGTGGAGCTGACACCGTTCAGACCGTGGGACGACTTCTTCCCCGGAGCGGAAAGATTCGCTAAACCAGACACCAAAGATTTAGCGAAATGGAACAACAGAGTTGTCAGCAACCTGCTTTATTATCAGACAAATTATTTGGCTATGGCCATCGTTGTTTTCCTCATTGTCGGGTAAGTTACATATTGTAACTTATGGCATCAGTACAGTTAGCTGTTTACTGGTCGTTAGTTCACAGCTAAATTGTGTTCGTCACCTTTTCTGTCGTTATTTTTCTATATGTTTGCCCTGTAAGCGTAAACTAATGTAGCCTGCTGTAAACGGATTTAAACGAGGGTTTGAACAGGATGTAGACTCTGCTTGGGAGGAGACGAGTTGAAACGCGTCCCATAAGAATGAATGGGACTGGAGTATATTGTTCCAGCTGACATGCAGCTACAAGGGACTGTTCCTGTAATGTTCTCAGTGTGTGCATCTCGTATAGGAATACAATGTGACTTATTCATTGGTCATTAATATAAAATGTAAACATGATGACACGAGGCTCAGATGATGCACTGTTGTTGGCAACAGGCTGAATGAAAGAGAAAAGAAGAGTCTGGAACCAGTGTTGGAGCTCTGACTCACACAGTACATGAACCAAAGATTTCCAAATACCCTGACAGTACAAGCACATACTAACTACTGCAGACTGCCTATTATCTGACATCTCCATACAAGGTAGATTCAATCAAATGTCTTGGCTCTGGTTGGCACTTTGCTCCAGCTAAAGCCCGACTTACTAAAAATAGTGATACCCTGTCATGGTCTGTCCACTGGGCTGTGTGATGACATATTGTTGCTATGGTCATGAAGGCCTCATAAGCCGTTTGTCTAGTCAGCTGTTGCACTGCAGATAGCACAGTTGTGAGAAAGCAGCAGCTTATTGAGCTGTACCCCTGCTTAGGGAGATAATCTAGTATTGGAGAATTTCTCATTGAGCCGATCCTGAGTCATGACCCTAAACCAACAAGGCTGGCACATTCAGCTGACTTGTTGTGTAAAAACATGATTGTGCTATTTTTATCCAGTTTCGAAACACCTCAAGCATCCGCTTTTGCATGAACATCATTTGCAGTGCCAAAAGTGTTCAGGGCGTGTGTGAGGAAACTCATGTTGTTATTGCACATTAATCCACACTTGGCTACACGTAATTATTCATAGACGTATCATTCATTTTCACACACATGTTACTGTTCTATACAGTTGCTATCTGTGGTGAACTTTAATGATTCTGGGTCTCCTCATGTAGTTCTCCTTCACACAACTGTAACACAGGAAGCATGGTTTCAGGCACTGAGTGCAGAAGAAGTCAAATCTGTCCCTGCTGTGTGGCACACTCGCAGTGTGTGTGTCTGTGTGTCATATGCAGGGGAACCTTTGACTCTATAATCAATATGAAGTCACACTGCTGTATGTCATAACAAACGGAGGCAGAGAAGGTATGAAATGCGACAGGGGATGTGAGGTGTTGTTCCAGTTGTTCCTGTTGTTCCAGTGACATTTGATGATGTGGGCGAGTCCATCAGCGGTTCACGAGAGGTTTCAGGCCCAGCCAAGAATATCAATATCCTGAAATGGTGAGGATATTCATTCTTGTTTGTTTACAAAGATAGCTGGAGTTCTGTTGCCCTGGTAACGCTGCCTGCCAAAGTTAAAGGGGCAGGTTTTGTTCAGGATTAGAGTGGCGTCCATACCAATCAAACAGTAGAAAGACTTTAGACAATATCTTATATTGAAAATACAGAAAGTGTTGTAAAGTGCTGTAAAACATGGCTTCCACACCGTAGCAGTTCATCAGTAATACATTGAATTTACAATTGAATATTATGAGGTAGAGTCTGGCTGATATTATCTAATATCACTGACATATTATTGTCAGCACATATGTCAGACCATAAATAATAAGAAATAGCAGTATAGAAATAAATATTTTTAAGATCATTTGTAAAGACCATTTACAAATATAATATAAGACTACTATTGCTATTGCATAGTTTGTCCACCAGAGGGCGGTGGCAGGTTTATTTTTCAGCTGCAAAGTGTCCTGCTCAGTGCATCGTGGTCAAAAATGTAGGTGATCTTTATCAAAAATGTTTGTGTATAGTATGTATTTATGTTAAAAAATAAATAAATATTATTGGTCAAAATATTGTAATGGAATTTTTTTACACTCAAATACACACTCAACTTTGGAAAATTGTCAAGTTCTATTATGAGGCAACTTTTAGATCGGAAATGTTTCTATAAATTCAATATTATAATCCCAAAGAGAAGAAAGGTACACTGTTTCCTAATGGCAGGATGTGATAACTTTGAAAGGGGAGAATGTAATTGCTTTATTCATGCTACATTTTTATCACTTACGCCTTCATTAAGCCTTGTTTTCTTTGCTCAGTTTTGTGAGGACCTGTAATCCAGGATCACCAATATTTGTGAAGCCAAATACGCCAAAGAGAGCCTGAGTAAGTGAGACAGGACCTTGGTCACACTCAGTGAGGTCATGGACTTGGCCTGATGTAGCCACTGTAGCGGTGCCAGGGGTGGATTTGTCACAAAGCTTTTCTGTCCAAGGTGCCTGGCCAGGGAGGAACTGTAGGTGTGATGTAGATGAAAACCTATGTGCTGATGTCAGTGACTGTTTGAGCTGCAAATATAGTGCCTACAATATATGGTTCATATTCATTTTTCACACAGGAGAAGGTGGAACGAGATATTGTTTGATATCTTTGCCTGAAAAAATGACTATAACAATTAATTAGTTGTCATAAAAGCTGCAGACCGATGGACTTTTGTGTTATTAGCATTTTTTTGAAGAGTTTTTTTCTTTTAGCCATCATACATTTTGACCATTAATACGCTTTTTTGCTAACTCAACATTTTTTAGTTTGTGTCATCTATTGTCAAAGGTAATAGTATTATTTTTTGTTAAAGTTACATCCAAATAATGGATAAAAACTATTACAGTATTACAATCTGTGATCCTATGCTATTATTATAGCATGTTGGTCATGTTGTTGTACAGACTACTTCTACCCACTTGGGGGAGCCAGTGACTACACGCACCAGATCAACCTGTGCTCCAGTTGTAGTTTTAAACTGACCTCTGTGTTGCTGCCCTGCAGGTTCCTGAACCCCCTGGGGATGTTCACAGCCATGGCCGTGGTGTCGGGCGTCTTCATGGGTTCGGTGTGGGCCGGAGAGAACAGAGCTGTGATCAGCAACTTCAAGAGGCACAATCCCACAGCGTTTGTGGTCGCCGTCATGGTCGCCAGCTACTTTGTAATCTCTATGCTGGGGAGCGTCATGGTGTTTATGACTGCAATCACTTTACCTCTGGCTTGTAAGTTCAAGATGATAATGTTGGATAGTGACAGTGTAATGATCAGTGCGTTATGAAAGTTCAGGCAACGCAGTTAAAAATCTGTGAAACGTGTTTTGGAGTGAACCCTCTCAGATTCTCAAAGACTGATTACAGTTTGACAAAAGTTTTTAGGTTTGTTATTGCAAAACATTCTCCCATCTGCTTTTCAGTGATATTTGCACATGCTTCATTTCGCCTCCGCAACATGAAGAATAAACTGGAGAACAAGATCGAAGGAGCCGGACTGAAGAGGTCACCCATGGGCATCTTGCTGGAGGCTCTGGGTCAGCAAGAGGAAAACTTTCAAAAGATCCAGAGCTTTCTGGAGGGAAAACTGAAGGAGTGATTGGGCTTGGACAAGGAGCACACCTCTGGCCAAAGATCTTGACTTTTTCTTTTGGATGTAACACAATTCTGTAGATCTCAATCTAGACCTAGATCTTGAAGTTTGTTTCCTATACAGTGTGTTTACCTGTGTGTGTTTTGAAAAGAAGGCTTGTAATCTGAAGGGCTTATCTTTACCTCAGGGTGTCTGTCATTCCACCCAGAACTTGTCAGGGCACTTTTCTGACAAACACATGGGGGCATCTCAGCTCTGCCTCACATCTCTGCTATGCAATGTGTCAGTGTTCCTGTGAAGCACAGCTGCAGACTCCTTTCTAGGTATTACATCTGTGTTTAATCAGTCTCTGAAACAGCCGTTATTCCTGCCAGTTTACACACGACTAAAATTGTGAAAGTGTTGCTTTGTAACAAAGAATTAAAAAAAGTGCACACTCAACACACATCACTGCCAAGCTACTCTGCAGGCCGGATTGTTTCAAGTTTTTGAATCACGTCTCCTTGCATAAAATGGAACAGTTTACTTTAGTACACATTTGAATATAAACCAGCCAACCGTATGTTTATGCAAATAAAAAGAGCAGGACAAAAGAGAAAGCACCACTTTGTCTTCAGCTTTGAAATACTTGTGACTCCAAACCCAGACGCAAATCACTGTGTCAATATTTAAAATGAAGACTTCAAAGGAGTGTGAGGTCCTAACCCATGCCCATCAGTATTCCTCCTGCACATCTCGACTGTTTAATCTTGACAGTGCCCCCTGGGTGATGGATTGGCTAACTTTGCTTTCCTTTCCACTTACCCCAAATGCTAATCAATGGGCTGCTGTAGATTATAGTGTGGAGAGCTGAGCGCTGCACAGTGACGGAGTGGATTCATCTGCAGTCATTCACCTCCAAACCCGAGTTAGTCGCTGTGTCAGCTACTTCAGATGTTTTTTTTTATTATTGGATTCCATTTGAAATTGACTGCAGATAACGAGAACCCATCTGGAACATAATGTTCCGTTATTTGGTCGTTAAGTGGCAGCGTGTAAGGATTGGGGGAAACATGAAGATAAGAATGATGGGCATTAAAAAAAGTAATCACTTCAGAGGGCTGGTGTTTCAAAGTGTTCGTGTTAACCCTTTGCTTTCCAAACGATGGAAATCCATTTCAGACAGCATCATTTCTCTGTAAGGAATGCATGGCATTTTTTTTTAAATGATGACCTCTGCACACTCAGGTGTAATAGTATTCCAGTGGCTCTCCAGTTTAACTTTGACTCTGGCTGCGGGGCTCCCCCCCACTCTGTGCTACAGTAGTGATTTATGTCCTTTCCCGCGGTGCCTCATCTCCATCCACATTGTGCAACTTGGAGGAGTGAACACCAGCGCTGGTGGCAATAAACTCAAGTAAAGTCATGTCTCCCAGAGCACAGTGGAGGCTGTTGTTCTTGCTGCTGCAGCTGCTGTGAGGATCCCACCAACACATGTGCAAGCTGCTGCACCCCCAACAGGTGTGCATCTTTGGTGTTTTCTCCTCAGCACACGTGTAATCCAGGAGAGGAAGTGCAGTTGCACTGTACAAAACAACACTTATCCTTTCTTGGTTTTTTTTTTGTTGCATGCATGCATCAACAACACTTGACTAACTTGTCATTTTGAAACAACCATAATTGCTTCCAAAGATAATCTTCAGTGAGGCAACAGTAGTCAGTGGATGTGACACAAAAGCAAACCTGTGTACTGTTTTTGCACCAGCTGCTAAGTAACAACACTGTTCTCCCTGTGCAGGCTTTTGACTTTCAACATCTGCCTCCTGTTTAGTTTCCACAACACAAAGGCGTAGGGCAGGGAGTAATCTAGTATGATACAATAGTTAATGTTGTTAGGCCAAGCACACTTTGACAGTGTGCTGCCTTTGGGTTGACCCCTCCATCCCCACCCCACCCCCCCTTCTCCTCAGCTTGCCTGAGAGGCTCTGGCTTTTTGCTGGCCAAGCTGGTTAGCTTTCCTCATAAGTCAAACAGCCTGTCATTCAGCAGATCTGGAATCTTGGACCTACACTGCGGCGGATCATGTGACACAATAATGATGACCCACTGTGACCTTTGCGGTCTGCAGTATCCTCTTCAACATTCCCCAACACCAATGTCGCCTTTACTGCCTCCTAGATGGAAGGTCATCCCTATTAGCCCATGAACAAGACCTGAGTGCGTGTGGTCGGTCCACTAATCCAACTATTCACTCTTCATAGCTTGTCAGAGCCATTACTCCCTGGATCAAGGTAAATGTGCTGATCCTGGGGAAGCCACAGCATAACATGATTAATAGTCACTCTAATCTGAGTTTGGCTGAGCCCTCTGTGTGGCAGGGCTTAGTTGTTCATGTGTGACACCTATCAGCTCTGTGGTATTGTTTAAAAATGTGCAATATTAGTGCTGATTTGATATCAGTATTGAAAATCAAAATGATAATTATTTCAAAAGCTTTAAACAGGGCAGGAAGCGTAAAATCCACATATTTTTAGCATTTTGGTCAACAACACAGCCGTGGCTGAAAGCGGGATGGAGGAGAGTGGCGAGACCGGACCAAAAAACTGTAAAGTTGTGGCCATTAAAACTAAAACAATGAGCTTTAAAGACCCTACAATGCTTCGTAGAGTCAGACGATACATATTTAATCCACTATTAACATAAAAATATTGATTTTGCGTAGCTTTAAATGGGAAACTGTTCAAAGAATAATTAAACAAGACCACTAGTGAAGTTTTTCATACATGGACACATTTTGGACAGTACAAAAAGTCTATTAAGGTTCTATACCCAGCCTCAATCTGCTTTCCATATCAGTTTTGTCTGGAGTGTTAGATGAGGTGAAAGTACATAGGAGCCCATTGTTTATGTAGTCGAGTGTCAGCTGGAACGGCCTCGCCTGATGTCTGACTGCAGCTGGTGTGAAGCAGCAGAGGCACAGAGACACAGAGAGACAGCTGGATGCAAAGCACTCCCCGTCTCTCACTGCCTGGGGTAAAGCCGAGGAGCTGGAAGTGTCTCAGACCTCCCCTGAGCTCGCTCAAGAAGCATAACACTGAGGGGCACTGCGAGCAGGAGGAGCTGCTCAACGGTCTTCCTAAAGAGGGGACCAGTGGCAGAATACGCTTGTACTGGTAGAAAATGTGTGGCGGCTGGAGAAGAAAGGGAGGGAAAGGAGGTGAAGGGTTATAGCGAAATCTACAAGGGAGGGGGGCAATACATGTGTACGGCAGACTTCTATTACGTGGATGCCTCCAGGGAGGGTTTGGTGCTATAAACACTAGCTTGTCATTCACAGAAGGACAGAAGAACAGGTTATAGCCCATAATGGGTGTGACAGGTTTTAAAGACTGGTTTGGTGGGTTTACGGCTTAAGGACGTAGAAAACCAGCCTGGCAACACAGCAAGGCGGTGGGAACATACAGCCAGAGCGACAGAGCTCTGCAGCACGAGAGCGTTTCTAAAAACAGATCATTTATTCATAATTAGCTCTCATCATGACTGATTGCAGCCCTGCATTCATTCTTAGAAGCCCAGAAAAAACTGGGATGTAGCCAGTCCTCTACAGTTATCTTCCCAACTATAATCTGCCTCCTTGAATGCACCCCAGATAAGTAGTTTCCAAACCCTTTATATGTGCAGAATGGATTTGTGTCCTAGTTGACCAAGACCACCATCCTAAGCTACTGTGACAGAGCCTGCAGAGAAATAAAATGTAAATTAGACTTAAGGTTATTTAGCTATTTTCCTCTATATGTGGTGACAATCATTGTAGTTTCTTCGAACCCCATTTCATTAACTGGCTGAACAGACGTTCAATTACCTAATTTAATGGATTTGGATTTAAATCCTGTGTTTTCCTGCACTCAGAGGGATGAGATTTTTTCTTGTCATTACATTTCCCCGAGAAGCTTCAAAGTCTGCATTCTTGTTAATAAATACGACCTAGAAACCAAACAGCTGATTCAAATGCTGATTTTTTTTAATTCAAACAAATGCAATTATACAAATTACTAAGAACCAGCTTAACAACTTAACAACAATTGTTTACTATATATTACATGCTTTTCAAATACATAAAAATGCTCTAAAAAAAAAAAAAAGACGACCAGTGTATTTACAATACCAACATTTACATACAGCTTCATTCTCTAAAGAGAAATTGTGAGCACCAGTCCATGATTTCCAGCATGGATGAAATAACCATGTTAAAATAAAAATAAAAAAACAACAACAACAAAACTGGATATTCTGTCTTCCTGCAGTGACTTTTCAGATGTGGCAGTGATATCAAAGTTGGTGACTTTGGGTAATACTCAAATGGTGTGACAGATGCATTTGGCTCAATTGTATTAGCAAGTACTGACAGTGAGAAAGATCTGATACTTTGTAAATGACAAACAAAAGTATAGGAAGCACTGTAGTAGCTACAAGCGATGCTTTGACAACATTTGATCTGGTGACTGCAGAATGTTCCAGGAAGAAGCCATCTTTTTTGACTCATTTTTAATGAGTTCAATCCTTCATTTTGATAAAGGCCTTATCAATCCTTGTCCAATCCTTCATGGTTACAGTGCTCATACATGTGTGTAAGTGGCAGAACAGGATGAGTCATTCTCGTTGTTCACTGCGGCTAAGTATCCTTTTACAGAGACGCTCCTAGTTCTTGGTTTGTGAAGTCGCTATCTCTACGGAGAAACACTGAAGAGATTTAGTCCACATTCCCTTTGGCTATACCACACAGTCCACAGCAGGTCCTGGTATAGTTTCAGTGCATCACCAAGTGCCATCACCACAAACACTCGCAATCCAGACATGTAGATGCTCTTGTGGGTTTTTTTTTTTGTTATGATTTAAAACCAGTTTGGCATTCAAGAGAAGAAGAAGACTTCATTTTCTTTAAAAGCTGAATTCCACAGAATCAGTTCCTTCATTCTTTGGATCCCATGGACACGAAACAGGTAAGTGCAGTTTAAGGCACAGTGACAACTTGTCAAGGTGAGAAATGAATACAGCAGATGGGCAACTACACTATTGTTCCTGGTTTCGAGTCTTCGTGCCAGTGAATCTGGTCTTCTGGCTCCAGGTTAGTGTTCATTTGATTACTGATGTGTGGGTCCATTTGGCTGACATCTATAAAGGATCTGAAATAAACACACGAGATGAAACACGTTAGACAGGTGGCACACCGAGTGTAGCTTGTGAGTGGTTAACTATGAGTTTAGAATGAATTAACCCTGGGCTGTCAAAACGATCCTGTCATATTGCAGCTTTGTAGTGCCAAGATCAGGAAGTAAAATAAAAGAAGAAAGGTTAAAAAACAAATAAAAACATTCATGTACCAAGTTACCTCGTATGTTTCAGGCATGTTAATGGTTATCTCAGTTTCAGAGGGTAAACCCAGGGTCAAACATTCACACCCAACAAAACAGCAGATGCACACAGACATTATGCAAACGCATAGCCTTCAAATGCGACTATACTCAGGGGTCACATTTTTTCCTCTGCCACACAAGTGCTCTCCCACCACCGCAGGACACCCAGAGAAATAAACCAAAAATCAGGAAGAGTAATATGAAATCATTTGGAGCTTTCTTCTAGTCCCTGCCACATATATATATATATATATAAAAAAAAGACACATCACCATCACCATGATAACCATGTGGGCAAGTTTTACAGTCTCGTCTCTCACCCTTTCTTCTGTGCTGTGACTCTGATTATTGGGGGGAGGGGGTAAATTTTCCTGGTCAGACGCATAGGCAACAGCCCCACACCTCTCTAAAGGCCCCGCAGGGCACGCCATCCTATCACAGCTCCGCCACTCAAACTCTGTGGGACATCTGTGCCTGAGAAGGGGGCAAAGGTCATGGGTGAATGGCAGCACATGGGCAGGGAGCCTCTATATGGGCCAAGAGGAAGGCAAGCGGCAGAGAGAAAACAAACAAACCAAAAAAAAAATCTGAGCACTAAAGGCACACTGCAGAATGTGACCACTGGATGACAATATGCCAGCTGGAAGAGGAAATAGGGCAGGCATGTTTTTGAAAAAGCCATGCAATTATCTTATTGTACATGACAATGAAGGAGCAGTCAAACATCTCAAAAATGCAAAGTTCACTTCAAAACATCAACAAGCAGACTATGGAGTCACATTGCAGACAGACTAAAAGAAGCAAACGCACAGGCTCCGGCCATTGCTGTTTACTTACTATGAACTACCTTTCACAAAGGACACCTTACTGAGCCTGTGCCCTCTGGAGGATTGTGGCTGTGCAGGGCTGGAGGTCACCTGCCTGACCCGACAGCCAGGGGAGTAGGAGGAGGAGGAGGAGGAGGGAAAGGAGGAGGAGGGCAGGGAGGCAGTGGAGGAGGAAGCTGAAGAGGAAGAACTAGCAGGGAAAAAGGCACAGCGCCTCTGGCCGTCAGGGCTGTGCCAGGAGCCCTTAAAAAGCTGGGAGGTGCCATATCTATAAGAAAGCAGGGGCCAGTGGACAGTTAAGGACAGCAGAACCAGTCTTAAGCTCTGAGGAAGAACTGACTGCTGGCTGCACAGATCCTATAATCCTACTGCTGAACCAAGCTGTCATGTGAAAGCAGATGGATGTTTTCTGATTTCCTAACTTAACAGAGAAGTTGAAGAGAATGTAACATTGGCTGCACATCAGTCCATAGTATTGTTGTGTTAAAGAATAACAAAAACCAAATAGCAGCTTATATTTTCTGTAGCCATCCATTCTAGGTAATTAAACACTAGCGCTTAGCTCTGGGATAAGGAGGATCAGGGAGTGGCTTATTGGATAAGGAGCTGAAGCCGAGCTGAGGTTTTTTTTTTCTCTCTCACCTGTTGTGGGCGGAGTGGCTGTAGGGGGCTGTACTGTAAGAGTAGGACTGCGGCGCATGCACAGGCATGTCATATTCCAGCATACCACCACCACCACTCATATGGCTGTGCCAGTTTCCACTTGAGGACACTAAGGACACTGGAGAGAAACAAATTTTACATGTCAGCAAATTACCCACCTACATGTGAAACCAGGGTCAACAAAAGCATGCACTAGAGACTGTGAGATATGGTGCAGGGATCTAACCTGAGGAGTAGGAGGTGTTTCTGTTGTTGTGGCTGTAGGGTGCAGGCATGGTCTGATAGCCCAGGCTCTGCTGGGAGCCTCTGTCATAGTCGTAGTTGTACGCTGGCTGTTTGTGCGCAGCGTTGCGATGGTACCAGCCTCTCAGGTGTTCCGCCACCAAAGCCTTCTGGATGTTCTTGGTGACCTGCTCGTTGCTGCGGGGAACGGGGCGGTTCCTTGGTGGCCGCAGTGTGGCGTACGGGTTCTGCGACATGCCGTCTATCTCGTCGTTACCATAGTGACTGTGCATGTCGTGGCTGTGATAAGCTGTTGGGGTTGGGTGGTAGGAAGGGTTGACGTTATAGTGCCCCTCCATCTCATTGTCATACATGTAGACTCCATTAGAGTACGGCTCTGGTTCTGCATGGCTGGGATAGCCGGTGACGTAGTAAGCCGTTGTGGTGGGTCGGGGTCGGGGCTGGTAGGCGTAGGAGCGGGCGTCTGGTTGAGCCAGGTTGGGCATGCTGCCCGTGTTGGCGTACATGTCTTTTCTGTGGCGACCGCGAGCTTTGCGTCTGTGGGTGTGGTTACCGGGGACGCTGTACTCCACACTGGATTGGCTTGTGTAGGAGGAGCCGTCATCGAGGACCTCAGTGCTGTTGCTGCGTCGAGCTGGGGAGAAGGTGAACGTTGGCACAGGAGGTTCGGTCTCTGTCACGAACTGGGACTGGGACTCCAGACTACCGCTACGCTGGCGGAAATGTTGCGGAGCGTCCTCTGATCTGAAATTGGAAAGCACTTTATTGAAAAGCTCTGTTTTGATTCACGGATATGCCAAAAAAAGAGCTGTTGATGACACAGATATTGAAAAGTCTCTGAGGCCTTACCTAAGCTGGGTGCTGCTGTAGGCATTGCGGGTGAGGAGGGGGGTGGGGGGCATGCTGCGGGCATCACGTGGCTGTCTGGAAGCCGGTTTAAATGGGCTGCTGTGGCTTGATAAGGCATCACGGTGACTGTAGTGGAGTGATTCCTGGACTTGGCCGTAATTTAATCTGGAACACAGATAAGAACGATGTTTTTAGGGCTTTTGCCTCTATAGGGCTGAGCTTTTTATTGAAATAAACACCTCTACCCTCTCTTCACCTTCTGTCAGAAAAAAACACTTTGGGTTTGCTTGAATGCAGCACTTTAGCCATTACTTACACCTGAATGACAGTCATTACATACCCCGTTGATCATTCTTTTCATGCAACAGCAAGCATTACGACTTCTGAATCTGAGGGCATCACATCACCCATATCACTTTGTAAACAGTCATGAAGTAGCTGCCATTTAAACTAAGTTTCCAGAGCTTTCCTGTTTCCCTTTTCCTCTCCTCTCGGCTTGGAATTGTTGTCTGCTCCTTCGCAGGCAGCGACATGTTCTTTTCCATCTATTTTTAAAGCCGGTGCGTTGGGCTGATAAGAGGGAGATTGTTGGAGAGCCAGGAGAAGGAGGGAGGTGAGGTGACTAGCAGGAATGTAGCTGTGGATCTAGTCTACAGGTCTGTACTAGCTCCATGCTTATGGGCCTCTAGAAAAACAACTGTCAGACGCACACTGAAAATTAAAATCATCTTTCATGGGTGTCATTGCTGGCTGTTTACCTGCTGTCTGCTTGCTGGTCATTGGCAGAAGACCGTCTGTCTTTGCTGTAGTGAATGTCCAGAGTTTCTGCGTGGTGTGGTCTTGGGGAATACTGAACCGATCTGGACCTCTGCCTCTGGGAAATGAGCTCGTCATCTGGGAGATAAAAAGTGGTTTCTTGGTCAAAATTGATCTAAAATGCAGTAAATGAGGAAGGAGGGAGTGAACACACACACAATGCGCACGGCTATGCCTGGGCACTTACCATCATCTAGAGTGAGGCTGTCAGATAGAGAGCTTAGGTCTGAAGGGTTGACATCATCTGATAACAGAGGAGAGAAAATAGTCTTTAGAGACTCCTCTGATATACACTTTTCATAGGAAATGACACACCTTTCAATCAATCATCACTTGTCAGAAAATTCATAGACCTTAAAAATCAATTTCAAGCTTTGACAGGCAAGCAAAACAAAACCCGCGTGGAGCTTTCACTGCAGTTTATGACAGCTACCTGCTAAGATCAGTGAGGCTCTCTGGGTGGGTTTCTTTCCTTTCTTGATCCTGTAGGCGTTGATCTCTTTTTCGATCTCCTCCAGCTTCCTCATTGCATCCAGACAGTTGTTTCTCCTTTTCTTCTTCACTGTCTTGGCGAGGTCATCCTCGTTGGATAACTTGATGGCTGCTTCCACAATCTTCTGCTGCAAGGCGAACCTGCTCTCAAGATTCCTCAGATGTGGGTCCTACAGGGAAACACAGCACGCACACAGTTAATGGGGGGAATTTCCAAAAAATGAAGACAGATCCCATCAACGGCAGTACTCTGAACAAAGAAACAGACTACAAAGACACAATATGGAATTTATCTATAAACATTCATTCTTAGTGTGCTGACATATTCATATTCAGATGTATATTCTCTTTCATATTTATTTGGAAACTCACAACAAATGTTTCACTCAAAGCATTTTCAAAAAGGTTAAACCCCTAATCCTCATCTCAAAAGTCAAATGATCCAAATGGTCTCTAGGTAAACAAACACAGTGGTGTAACAACTCGGTTTCAATTAAGTATGACATGCTTCATTACACAACAGAGAGAAATATACCACGACAAAAACACAACACACCAACAGCAGCAGCACTAACCTCATCGTAGGGGAAAAGGTCATCCAGCTTGAAGGCTGTCCCAACACGCCGTCGTACATGAGGAGCCTTCTCACCTGCGGCTAAGGGATAGTCTTTAGGCAAACGGCCTGTAAGCTCCTGCAAATGAGAATCACAACAACCAAAAGTCAGCTGAGAGTGGGCGCCTTTCAAAAGCCCTTGAGAAAAGAACAGAATAAGAGAGACACTCACAGCTTCCCTCATGCAGATCATCTTCAGTTCTTCAAGTTTCTGTGTCAGCGTGTCTTGAAGCGCCTTTTCTTTCTTTTTCAACTCGGCAACCTTCTCTTTCTTCTGTTCCTCGCTGACTTCAGAGTCAGCAGAACCTGGAATAAGCACACGTCTGATTAACTACAAATTATAGCAATAAATCATCTCTCACAATCTGACGTGGATGAGAAGCCATTAGCCGGTTAACTCTCCGCTTACCGGCTGAGATGAGGCTGCCATTGCTGGCCATGATGAGCTGGTCTTTGCTCTCAATGCTGGAAAGTTTACTGATCCGCGGGGCGCAGATCTCTGTGAGGTCCATGGCGATGTCTCCTGAACTCCTGGTCGTGGTCATCTTTGACTGTAGGTTAGATAAGAGTTGGTTAGGAGGAAGGAAACAATGATGAGGAGGAGGGAAAAGAGTAATGAAGGAGGGATTGTGAGTATTTCATTGTAATGATAGCACACTGCGATCGTGGCGGCTCCATTTGCATGCTCAGTACTCCAAGCGCACTGCTCTATCATCAATCAGTGTGGGCTCTATTCCTGGATGAACACTGACACACCATCTGCCTTTGAGGGAAGACAGTGGCTGAATAACCCCATTTGACTGCAGCCACACACGCTCATCCATCTCCACCACGAAATGCACATCACACACACCACTCATACTGTATAACAGCCCTGATACTGCATCATAAACACAAACACATGGACCATGAGTGTATCTTCAAGGCATTCGGACATCTTTTAACACCCACACAAGGACCTGGGCTGTGAACACACTGTGCCCTTTTCTATTTATTGTCAATGGTGCGGTCATAAAACCCATTAATCTCTTCCAAGATAAACACTTCACATTTTATATGGCAAATTCTGGTTCTACTTTGAGTTAAACACGTTTCCTCAGACCACAGACAAGGTAAAAATAGGCATAATAATAGGCGCTACTACTACAACTATATCATTCTGCACTACTATATCAGCAGTGTGGTAAAAATATTTCACTCAGAGCAATTACAAGCTCTTGTGCATTTTCACTTTCAACGACCTAACTGCCTGTTATTTAAGTTAAAGATAACAGCAGTACTATTCCTTTTATAGCAAGAATGAATCCCAACATAAGGCTGATCAGCATGGAACGTATTTACATTAAATCTGGACGCCTGGGATATCACTTCACCAAGATATTTACACAAGTCACAGGCATGGGACACGCAGGCAGTGAATCACATGAGCAACAGTCACTGTTACACCACGCTGTGACACTTGCACAATAACCTTTCAGACAGAACGTCAGTCCATATTCAAACTGAATGAGAAAGACAAGCTCAGTGCATTTTAATCCGTCTGAAGCCTCATTTTACAGTCTGTTGAAAACAGGTCAACACTATAGCTCATAATCATAATCATAATCATTTTAAAGTTCCTAATAGGGCGATACAAACACACAAACAACCTATGTATATCAGTCATTTGCTCCTAAAGAATCAAACCTTTTCCCCTGCGTGACCTTCTGTAAACACACACACACACCTGACCCTGATCTGTGACCTATGTGGGTCACTTGACATGAGACCAGCTCTATACACAGGTCAAGTCATCAGTGTAAAATAAGTATTATGCTGTTTCTGAGTAAATCTCAGTTGGCAGGAAATGTGAACAAAGTAAACCAGTGAGGAGAAAACAGACACTCACTTTGCTTTGCTTCCTGTCCAGGTAGAACTGGTGCTGACTGATGGCCATCACCCAGATGGTTTTAATCAGAGAGTGGCTGGCATACCACGTGTGAATGACCAGGCCAGTCTGTCCGAAGGTTCGCTTGGTCACTGTTCTTCTGTAGAAGATAATAAGACAAACACTCAGTACTTGTGCTAATCCAAGAAGCAAATGTGTTCATTAACTGCATACAGAAACAGAACTGTTGATGGTAGATGAACAAGGCTTTAATTAAGATTAAAAAGATGTGTTACGCAAAGATTAAATAGTAATTCAAATAAAATCTTTATCCAATTAAACTTGTGGGTGTTTGTGTAATAATAGACCGAAGAGGAGACGAGCAGTGACATCAAACTCATTTTGAAACAGACAGTGGGATTTAATAACAGCTTTGGTGGCTGAAAGTGCCACATTAAAGCTAATGTGAGTAGCAGAGGTCTTACAACAACCATAGAATAACACATTGGCCCTTGAAGAGCAGGAAAACACTCATTTCACAGGTTACAGGTTACAGCTATTAACATGGTGTCTTAAATGGGCCACTGGCAGCAGATGCCCTTCACTGTGTGTAAGGTGTAGGATAAGGACATCGGAAGCAAGAGAGCAGCAGCTAAAATGAGAACACTTCAAAAACAGGGAAAGGACCTATTAAGATCAGTTAAGATAGACTGAGTGGTTTGCCTTCTCTGACCTGTGTGGGTCGTTCACTTCCACAGCAAATTTCTTTTCGCGGAAATACAAATTCTCCAACTGCTTCCACTGAAACAACTGCAGAGAAAGAGACAGTTCAGAGGAAAGGGGGGAGGGGTAGAGGAACATTACACATCACTGAATACACAGGCCAACACAGGACTATTGATTAAATGTGGATTTACAGTACATAAACAGAAATGTCATTTGATACCACAAAGGCTATAAAACACAGTTGTGTCAGTTCAATGTCAGATCAATCTCGCAAAGACAACACAACAGGGAGGCAGGTATTAAAACAACTTGCTTTGTTTCAACCACAGCAGCCTGCCTTTTAGCTGTTTTTTCTGGTCAATTTGCAAAATTAGCAGAAACAACACAAAAGCTGAAGCGTTGAATGGGGTTCAGTGGACCGGCCAGTCAGGTGCAAGTTCGGGCTAACGCAGGAGCAATTATAATGCCAATGCTGCAACTGCAGGGAGAAAAATCGGGCCAGGCGGCAGGCCAGCTTCCCATTTCATTCTGCTGTGGAGGAGGCAGGACCTCTCTGTGTCAGAATGAAACATCTGCTCTGCCGATACTGGGCTCACTAAACAGATTTGGAGCCACTTGCCTGTGAACAACTTCCCTGCTCTCATATTAGTAAAAAGAAAAGCTACTGAACAACAGTGGGGCTGAGAGTAAAGCCCGAGAGAACGATTATAGCCACTTTTTTTACCCAATACCAACCTAGAAGGTAGCAACACAAATTACTCTAAACTACAAAAACATTTGACAACCTGTGAATTGTGCCTAGGCTAAGAAATCACAATAAGATGCCACATTTTCACTTCCACTGGGACAAACATATTTGCTGAGCCTAAATTATACTCAACAAACCAACTAGAAGACATATCTCCCTTTACAACAGCGTGGCCCACACAGCACAGGGAACAGGTACAACACCACCAACACTAACCCTAACCACCAACAAAAACCACTATACAGGTAATAGGTGGACACAATCTAAAAGCTTACCGTAAATGGTATTTTTTGCACTTCTCAAATCCCTGCTGAATTCTCTTGGGTTTGTATTGAATCCTTTGACTGAGTTTCCCACAGGGCCACAGCTTCCTCGAACAATACTCTCTCTTGTCTGTCTGGAGTCAGATAGGTGTTGCAAGAGTTTCAGCTGAGCTGGCCCCGCCCCTTTCACCCCTCCTCCTCTGACATCACAGATACCTCACCGCTGCCTCCGAGGTTTTGTACTGTTCTTCACTGCTCCCTCTCTCCTACACTGCTCACTTCCTTTTTAGTCAGACCAGATGAGCAGGTTGTACACAAGCATGTGCTGGGCAGGGTTTTCTCTTGTTTGAAGACATTTCATCTCTGCTCCACTTCCCGTCACTCGCAGATAAGCGATCAAACCTACACTGACTCTGAATACTCCGCTTCCATCTGGGAAGTTCTCTGCTTTTCATATTGTAAATACCACACAAAGCACTGTTGTGAAGCTGAATCTACTGTGACACTCTCCCCCCACCTGGGGAATCTGTTACTATGGTCTAATCATTAATAGCAGGGGCTCTCTTTGCTTTCATGTGGCAAGGGAGCACTCTGTCAGGTGAAAAAACCCACTATGTACAATGCTTTTACAGGTTTACACTAGCAAACAATCTTGACAACTCAGAGTTTCACGCTACACAGTTAATGTGTGTATTCATACAGTTTCACAGGAAGCTTTCATTTTGCATTAATTAAAATCAATGAAGACACTCGATGTTAGATTTCTAGTCAAGGTAACAATATTGTCTTTAGTTATGTGGGCATGGTGGACCATGATGCTGTTCCAGCCAACACCACACTCCTTATCAATTATATAGTCAGTCTGCCAATGAAACGATGAGCAGGGTACTAGAACAATGGGAACCAGCCAGCAGGACACTTCCAAAAAGCTCATCCCATTGTAAAGGGGACCCCCGCCAATTAACACCCCCTTGTCACTATCACTAGCATCATTTACATTGTAACAATAAGAGATAACAAAGGTCTTGGCAGTAAACACACACTTTCACTGCACAATTCCTCCTATTAGAGAAATAACACACCTGTCTGCCAGCACATAGATGAAACTAGAGGACTCTCTTGTGACTGCTCCTTAAATATTTCAACGATGTGACACACCTCAATCTCTCTCAAAGACTGCAAGAAGTCCTTTTATAGTGGAAACACTCCGAGAAATAATTCTGCACACAAGCCAGTTGACATAGCAAGTGACTCATACAATACAAATCCTAAGAAGAGAAAACAAAAGTAGCCATTTTCTTAAAACCAGGAAACACTCCCGACTTAACAGTACGCTCATGATATGAGTGAATACACAGAATTTCAGCATTTTCGTATCTTTAGTATTTACGTCTCCCTTGTTTTTGCCAAATATCTCATTATAGGCAGGTGGAAGTGAGCCAGAAATGCCTGTGGTTTCAGATGGGATCAGGCTGTTCAGATCCAGCTCACACCCACAACTCAAAGACCCCCCAGGGCCATGAGTCCGCAAAATCATACACGTGTGAAAATGTGTCTCAGGCCCTGACTCACAGGGCTGCACAGAAAAAGATCTGCCCCACCCTCCACATAACACGTCACATACCAGCTCTGGCTGGCTGGCAACACTGTACGTTTCCACAACATGACACATTGCTTAAAGTTGTGAAAACCTGAATAGAAGAAGAGACCGGAAAGAACTTTCTGCTCGGTTTTCATTTGAAATTACCTTTTCACTAAGAAACTTTACACTTCTTTCAGGCCTTTCATATCATGTCATTATTAGCCCAGAGGCTGACACTGCCACCCATAATAAACTGAAGATTTATTTTGGTTCTGCTGGCTCATCATACATGTGGACCAGCATGTGGTCTTAAAGAGTGTCCCATTACCCACTGGGAGAGAGTGACACAGAGTGAGGAAGAGAGACAAGTCTCCTGGTTTAACTCAAGAAAGAATTAAGTCTTGGCTTGCCATCTGCTTCAGTCCCATCCTATGCCTTGGAAACGCATCACACTGTTTTTGGTCCTCCATTTTTGTTTCTCATACTGAACAGTGGCTAATCCTCTTCCAAATTAAAATGTTGCTTATTTTTCTCCTATGCACTTTCCAGATATCTGGGACACATAATCTATACTATTTATCAGCATTGACCCATACATATATACACTTCATCTATGCGTAATGGAAATGATGGGGTATTCACATTACTAAATGTGCCACTTCTCTTAAACACAGCGGGGAGAGGGGGCTTTTGAGTTTTAGGCTTTTTAATATGGAGTGATGAAACCGGCATGCATGCAGAGAAGATAATAAGAGGTTAAGCTATTGTAGCTACTTTAAAGGATTTTTACAAACTTATAAAATAAAATAAATATATATATATATAAAATATAAAAAATATATATATCATATTTCTAAAATATGCTTAACTGCTGACCTCCCACCAGTAGCACCTCTAAATCCAGCCCCCCTACACAGATAATTGTTTTGTATTGTTTGATCAATTGTGTTCCCTCCAAGACAAACACACACACACACACACACACACACACACACACACACACACACACACACACAACACACACACACACACAACACACAACACACACACACACACACACACAACACACACAACACACACACACACCACACACACACACACACAGAGATTACCATGATGAATGCAACATGTTGAGAGGGGCTGGGCTGTGTTGAATACAGGGGCTGTGAACTAAGGCAGGAACCACTATCAATATTCACTAGATATAGAGGTCTCCCTTCAAGGCAAAAGGAAAGTAGCCATACACTTCCACATCAGTAAGAGCAACAAAAAAGGTCATTTAAAAAAGCCAACACTTTTTCCCACATCAGGAAACTCTTGTGAGAGTCCCCTTCTTGTGTGGACGAGTTGGAGAAAGCAGGAACTAGTTTTAAACACTCCCAGCACCCCTACACCCTCATTACTGTGCTGTCCCCCTACTCTAAACACCCACCCACCCTGCTGGCAGAGTGCCAACCCCAGTCCCAGAGGCCTGCTGCTTCCCACAGAGAACCATAATTACACCTTCAACTCAGAAGGTTGGGGGGAAACACAGTGGCTGCGCCCATTAATGCCTCAGTATAACAGCACACCCTGCTATGTCAACAGGTTCCTGCTATATAACAACAGCTATGACAAGGCTAATGAAAGAAGCTGGGGAGAAATGCTTGGTTGGACAATATTAAATAACACCTCTCAAACAAGGCGAGGGCATTCACAGACACAAGAACAACTCAAACATTCAACAACAGCAACTCAACAGGAGCAGTTCATTTTTGTACTTTTTTCACATGCACCACAACAGGCACACGATGGGCCCTGTACAGATCAGATCAGTAGCTTAATATCCACCACAAAGCGAAAAAAGTTGAGTCTGATAGTTTAAGAAATAAATGTTTATCATTTCCTAAATTAAGGTGAAAGTGAACTTCATAAAGTGTACAGCAAAGGTGAAAGGGTATTTTAATTGTTCCAATGTTAGGCTTTCATAATAAACCAAGGGTAGGTATTTTGTGCATTCTTCCCTTTACACTCTGCAAGTCGAGCTGTTTTATAATACTGATGACAATTAATTCCACTCTTGCTAGTACTGCACTGTATTTGCTCTTACACCTACAGCCTTGACTTTACACGGCACATACTGATACTCAAAAATATTTTCCCCATCGGTCTTCCTCTTTCTCCTGACTGGCATGGGAACCAGGGTCTTAATTACACCTATTTACAGTGTGGATGGATCATTAACCAGCAAACAAGAGGCACGGTAATGAAAGCTATGTTTTCAACTAGCAAAGTATTAGCAAAGTATAGTACTCAATAGTACATACTTCCACAAGATACTTTGAAAATACTTGTTTTAGCCTTAAATTTCACTTTCAGAAGTTTATTTTTTTTAAAGGGCCTCACCCCAAGTTAGTCCCAGGGGCTTAACAATGTGTACAACATATGAAAATCTGTATCCTTACTTACTAAAACTCACAAGTGGTGGCGTTTTTCTTTGAAGAAATAACATTTCAGATGAAATACAGTTGGGGCAAACAGAGCAGCTGTGAGAAGAAGTCAACCTACCTTTCTTGGTTTCAGCTTATCTTGCAAATCGTACTGGCCAATGCCTTTGTAGCTGACTCCCAGCCACCACGGTATTTCTTGCTTGTCCTGCGTGAAAGCATACACACACGACACCACTCATTAGAGGTAGCTTTATTGGTGGGAGTTTGCAAAAAATAAAAAAAGAGGCCTGTTACCAAAGCAATTACCCCATTAGGCTCACAGCAATAGCAACACAAGAAGAGATCAAATACATTAAAAGGCCTTCAAATCACTGCAAGACTGACTGAGTCATTTTAACATCACTGTTTGATCTCCCCAGACACCTTGATTTAATAGTGCTCGGTCTAGAAAAACAAGGAAAGTTGAAGGAAACATTTAAAACAAATTAAACTAAACATGTGACACAATGTTTTACTGGATTCTTGACTCGACTCTTTTGAATTATTTAAGTACTAAGTTGGTTTGTATTATTTTATCCCACCCAAGCAGACAGAGAAAGTCCTGTGTGTTCCTACAGTAACAGACATGTTGCTACTTTAGCTGCAGATTCTAAGCAAGAAAGGGCCTCATGATTCAAACATAATGCAAATATAATGGAATTAAGTGAACAAAGGTTAGACTGATGTATTAGATTAGATGCAGAAAAATAAATTAAGACAGCATGTTGACAGAAGCTTGTTCAAAGGTTAAGCTTCTGTATGACTTGGGGCACCACTGTTACCTTCACTGGGTAATAATGGACTCCATATGTCGGCAGGGACTCCACCAGGGCCAGATACCTTCAGAGAAAGAGGAACAGGTTAACAGGAATTCCGCCATTTACACTTCATCACTGTCAACAGGAGGCTGTTGTAGAACAGACAAAGTGGGATTTAAGCTACAGTCATTGAGAAGCCACAGTCATTTGCAGTGGCAAGCTGATCGATTTGTTTCAGGGCTGTGACAGAGTCCATTGATCAGTTCAAGGGCACAAATCATCCAAGTGTAAATGGCCCAGGGTTCCTCTGAGTTACAGTCCCAGGGAAAACACAGAGAAGGATGGACATCCTCCCAAGGCTGGCTGGCTTGCTGCCTACTCAAAGAGCACCTCCTATAAAAATACTATAGTTTTTTTTTTTTTTTTTTACTTACTGCACAATGGCTTGTCCTCTGGTCAGCCCCTTCAGTTTCTTGTAATGTTCAATCACTTTGTCCTCACTGCAAATGGATAGATAAAACATTTAATGAATAATCCATCAAGTGTTCCACATTCCAGCCGTAGAGGGACTGTGGCAGGGCCCTTTCGTTGACACACATTCTGCCTGCTCATGCAGAAAATGCAGTCTGGCCTACTGGCCTGCTGATGTCTCTCATCTACCTCTCCTGCAAATGCATCCCATTTACTTCCCCACTGTAATCATCCCCTTTAATAGCATAGTGAAACTGCAAACTCACTGCGGCTTAACAGACAGAAAGATACAGACCTATTCATGTGCTTACCCATACAACCGTAAGACTATAATTTTAATTTGGATATTAAAATGATGTATCCGCTTCAGAGGCTGCAGCAGCCTCAGATGACCATTTAGCCAGAGGAGGAGGGGCAAGCAGAGGAGCAAAAACAGCAGTGTGGATTGAAGAGACAGACGGCAAACTATTCAGACAGCCGGCGACCGTCAGCACCTCCCTCTGCTCTCTCCGGGCTAAGGGGCAAACGTAATTAACGCAATCCAAGCATTAATTAGTCACCCCATCAGTGGCAAAACTGTCTGCCAAGTACCTGGCAGGTCTGTAGACACCTTACCACCAAAAACTGCTCTTCTAGGGAAATTACTGGTTTGTACAACCAGGTGTTACTGGCCACTGAGGCGATTTGACAGCTGAATCGTTAGTGTATATTAAGGTGAAAGGGCTGTGGTATTGGTTAAACCACAAGGATCTACAGGGCTGTGTGTATGATCCCCTAACACTGCCCCCCCCCCACCCACATCCCTGACCTGCATGCATTTTGTGGTTTGTTTTCAGAGAGCTCAACAGCTCAGACAACTTACCAGTAATTGAGAGATGGGTGCTCCCTTAATACTTTGGTGGGCAGAACTGGGAGCTGCTTCAGGTCTGATCTGGCAGTCTCAGCACTGAAAAGAAAACCATATACAACCTTTAGGAACAGCTAATGTATTCATTCACAATATCAAGAGTCCTTTCTAGTTACATATTGATGCTTTAAAGCTGGGAGAGACACAACAAAGCACCAAAATTACACCGTTGATTGATGAAACACTCCCATATACATGATAATCTTTACATTTAGACATGGTATCCTGTTATGACCTTAATTGAGTCCTTCAGACCAGTATATGGACCATAAGTAAAAGGTGGATGTTTACACAACAAATCTCAACTCAAAGTCTAAAAATGCGTAGAGAACATTTCTCCACATGTTCGTGCTTTCACAGTGTGGTTTGAATTTCTATCTTAAGGCATGACAGCAATAATTCATGTTTGCAAACCTTTAGAAAAGGTGCAGTGTCAGGATATTGTTTTCATCTTTCTTATCTATAAAGAGTAGTACTGTTTGCCAAGACTAAACTTGAGCTTCACTCATGTCTTGCCAGACTTCATTTATAAAAGCACACACAGGGCCTTTAAGTCATGGGGAGCCTTTTAAGGGGCTTGGCGAGAAATCTTTTCAAAAATATCAAAGCCATTTCATGAAGGTTCTCAACACAAAGGCACTTCGCAGTTATTCTATGAACTGTGGGTACACAACTTTATACTGATTCGCCCTCACACATTAGCCAATGATCACAACATGACAGATGCAACAGGTACAGTTGGTGTCACCTACAAACATAGAAGCCAAAAATGTTAAGCAGAGGCTTCAACTTCAAAAACACAGAAAGCGGTCGTGTTATCTGTACGGACAAACTGTGGTGTTTGTCACTGTCAAGGTCTATGATAGCCAACTATGAGTCACTCCAACATCGTGTAGGTGGGAGTACTGGGTCTACAGTTTCTGCTGGACAAAAAGGGCTCTGGCTTGGCGGGCCAGTCCACTGGAGACCCGAACAAAAGCCATTCACAAGCACTTGGCAGCCTCTCCCTGTGCTGAAAAGTATTGTACGAGCCCCGGTGCTGCTACAAAACAGTCCACTGACTCTGAGACAGAACTGAACTGTGTAGGTCAAACCATACTTAAGATAAACTATTAGAACATCCTCGAGTATTGTACCTGCTATAAAAATAAACTCAACATAGCAAATTAAGTATCGGATGATTCAGGCCAATGGCCATTTGACCTTAAGTTGACTTTTATGAACATCAATTTAAGTCTTCTTTTAAGAATAATGAAATTTAACAGCCGCTGACATGGTAGGACAGAAGCATAATGATCCAGTTATGTGAACCAGCTTACTAAACAAAAAAACAAGGGTGAGCCACTGCAAGGGCAGAGGCACTTGAATCACTCTTCCCTGTAGCTACCTCTCCTAGGTTGACTGGGTTTTGCTGCCACGGCACTTCACTGCGTGTTTGATGGCATACATTTTATGGGGAGCTGGGGCCTGGCGTTGTCGGGGTGATCTACTTTGCAGCCGCTCTGCTCTGTCAGCAATCTGGAATTCATTACTACGTCTGTTATCTCCCCGCAGCCTGCAGCGTGGGGGCAATTCCTACACCAGGCAAAGCCCAGCCTTGCCCGGTGCAGCCTACCCAGTGTGGGAGAGATAATACTCATGTGTCAGCTGTTCCGCAGGGCTGAGACGTGGTGACTGTGGAGGGAGCACAATGAGAACGCCTGTTGCTGTGAATGAACCACTAACTACAGGCTACACCTGCAAATAGAACTGAGGACTGAAACTGTCTGGTTGTACTGGTTCACAATAAGAAACACAACTGACACTGTGTTAATCAAAGTTGATTTTAAATTACTGGCAGTTAATCTACAGTGGCACAGACAATGTCTGTAGCTCGCTTTTGCATTACAACTGTACGAGAAAAATCCCAGGTCAGTTACTCATAAAACCGACTTCCTGTGATTTCCTATGTTTTCCACAATCACTTTCATCAATCCCCCGAGAAGAGTAACTTGTTGCATTCAACTATGGATTATACCTGCAGGTGGTGAAAGCAGTCGCAATAATGTGTGAATCAATAGAGTAAGAAGATGCAAATGCAATACTGACTTTGCAGAGGTAACTCTGATACATGTACAATGTGAAACCTGGGGGTGCATTAATTCAATGCACAGCAGGGGTTTGGCCCACACCACCGCAATAACATGACTACAGTGAGTCCTACTGACGCCAACTTGTCTACCATTGGACAGTGGGTCTGGCTCATCCCTCTTAAGGCAGCTAGCTGTAGGAGGAGGAGGTCTCCTTAACTCCTCCACAGCTAATCTCACAGCTCCAGGGCCCTTTGCTGATACAGTGTAGAGGAGACACATTTATATTATATACTTTATGAGGGGATTTACTGGGCCTGTTCTCTAAAAGAGGTAGAAATAAAGGACACTGCAGGCACAGGAATGAGAAATACTGCCACAGGACAGCAGGGGATGTATCAGTACAATATCAGTGTTTTCTTTCTTTTGCAGTTTCTACACATTTCATTAAAGAAGGAAATATTAAAATGGCTGTCAAATGACACAATACAAATGCTCCAAGTGTCTTACAGCCAACTATCTAGAAACCATAATCAGAACGAGCAGGGGAAAAGTAGTGTCAGCGCAAATAAAGAGAAAGAAAGCTCGATTTGGACAGACTCCCATCCTCTCTGATACCAGATTTGTTGGCAGGTTGTCTTTTATTGTGCTTTCAGAATCAGGACAAAGTACGGCCCATCCCTACACCCACATGAACTGAAAGTTCAGACTGCACACTACACTCCAGGGTGAAGTAGTTTCAAATCAAAACACTGAGCCATAAATCTGTACTAAAGCGGCAATAAATAATAATTAACATTTATCAGGTCAATTACGCCTGGAACTAATGGGGGAGGTTAATGAGCAAAAGCAGATGTAGCCAAGTTTTTCTTTCTTTTTTTGCAAGAGAACAAAGGCAATGGTTTGACAAGGGGTCAAACTGCATTTTCAGCATTGCATGTAAGGCCCATTCAAACCAGACGCACAAACAATTCCTTACAGAGCACAAATCTTTGTATTCACACAATGAACAGGGAGGCCTTTAGAGGCAAAACACTGGGACAACACACAGGTTGGGCTGCTTCAAACTGCTCAGTCACTTACTCAGACAGAGCGGTGTTTACTAATCGCAGCACATGCCCTTCACTCCTATGGCTGGCAAAAAAAACAACACATCTTATCAGCAGTTCAAGCCTCTGAGAGCACGGCCCACTATGAAAACATTATCTCCACCAGTGAACTGATTATGGAGGTTTTGTACAGAGCCTCCCACCAGTGTCGCCAACCAAATTGTGTACAGAAAGTCCGTGTATTTGTACTGTGTCACATAAGCAGTGTCTGTGATGTGATGCAGTCCGAACATGTCAGATGCTGCAGCCAAATAACACCAGAGTTCTGATTTTAAAGGCAACATTTGGACCACGTGGATGGCAGCCAGCCAGCAGGGGTCCAGTTCAATGTCACAAGAACAAAATCAAGGGATTTATTAACTGAGGGACGCTCTGCATGAAATAAAATCTGAGGGAGTCAAGTTGAACATTAACTGACACAGCCATCATCATACACTTTGCACTGATCAAACAACATGACAAACCAAGCCCTGCGTCTTTGTAAGAGTACAGCATACACTTCATAAACTCAGTCTGGATTGTACTGCAGACACTAAATGGTTTATGGATGTCCGTGTATACAACAAACATTAGTAACAAATTGTACAGATTTTAGTACATCGCATTTGTAGATGTGGCTACTTAACTAACTTACTCAATGTACTACTCCTTCCCACCCCAGCTTATCTATCCTGTATTGCTCACTCAAAACAGTTTTAAATAAAAAGTCAACGAAAATCCTTTTGTATTTATCTAATTTATGGCTTTTATGTTTAAATTTGTATAACGTCTTACCTGGCGTAATCTCCTTTGGCCTCCTAAAAAGGGGAAAATAATGCAGTTAGTAAAAGCATTACAAGAAAATGCGATACTTGCTAATGTTAGCTACCTGCACAAGCTGCACAAAGGTAACGTTACACGATTGACCATCAGCACATTTCATTTGACTGCATTTTAATTTCTCTAATAAGTCGGGCAAACACTGCCTGGGGAACACAGGCTCAATTTAGAGGGCAGCGCCGATATAAAAGGGTCGGTTTCTTTAACAATAGCTCCGTGGAAAGCAAACTCAAGGGACAACTGTTTTCAAATGTTGCGTGCCCCGAGCGTCTTCATTCTCATTTAGGGGTGAGTGATAAAATTTCAGTCTAGAAAGCCTGCGACAAACTCTTACCTGCAATGCGAATGCGGCTAATTTGAAAACATTTCCACTCTCCACTTCGATGGTTTCCTGGTGTAAAAAAAAAAAACCGGCAGGGGTTTTAAAAAACACATACACACAACAAAGTGCAGCCCGTCCGACACACTTGACTTGAGAGAAAATCTTCCCGTCTCGTACCTCGGTCCCACCGTTACCGACTGAACCACTGCCGCAGAGGCTTTTCGGTGTTTGAAACTGTCCGTGAAGTGTATTTAATTCTGTTTATCAGCACTTGAGTTATCGTGACATTTTCCTTAGGCAACAAAACGCACACTGGTACATAGAAAGCATAGTTGAATGTCCGGTCTGAAGCTACAGTCCCCTCTGCAAAGTGGTACGGTCCGAAAGCAGGTTCAACAGTCTCCGTCTCCCATGGTGACCAGTCTGCTCTCCCCGCGAAAAAAAAAAACTGCACTGAAACGTTTGGTCACATGCTGCATTCACATGCTCCCCCTACGGTTGGGACGGTTCAAAAACTCCTAAATCCGTGTGAAGCAACTTCCTCTCAATGTGACCCAAGTTATCAAATTGTTTATAGGAAACATTTGGAATCTCTGGCCCTGGTACGACTCTCATACGAATTATTGAACTTAGTTGAACTTTTGCACGCTGTAATAATGATTTTAAAATCTACACAATAATAATGAACTCATCATACTCAAGCCCAAAAACTCTGGAAAGCAGCATGGAAAGCAGCAGTGTGAAATCTAGAGAGCTTCAAAAGTGTAATGTTGTGGGTGCATAAATAGCATGCTGTCGGTCAAATATTGTAACAAAAATTCAGTATAAAGATAAAAGGTAAAGAAATGTAGCCTTACTAAAACAATGGACATTTAAAATGTTGCTTTAGTCTTGTTTGTATCATTATGCTCATAGTATGAACAATATTATGTCCAACATATTAATGATCCGACCATCAATTCCAAGCTGAATGAAATCTCTTTCTCAAGAGTTTGTTACCATTAAGAATGATGGCAGATCAATAATTGGATTAGGCATTGACTATCACCTCAAAAAGCAATCAATTTTTGTGTGCAATGATCTGGGACGAAGATACATGCCAAATGTCTAGGATACAAAAATAAATATAGGTATGAGACAGGTTTTTATAAAATAAATGCTTAAAAACACTTACATTAAACACTAAGGATTTAGCGTTCAGGAAGAACAGCTCCACTGTTGTGTTGTCTTTCAGGAAGGTGATTTTCTCAATATAAAACCTGTGAAGAGCAAGATTCACTTGAAATAGACTGTCAGTGCATTATGCCTGTGCCTCAGCATTATTCACAAACTTCATAATGTTCAATGTAGCCTACTCTAATTTGGCAGTCGCACAGCAAGACTCAGGCTGTGTTCCATCACTGCCACCTGCTGGTCAGGAGAAGCCTTGAAGTTTTCAATAAACCAACTTACTTCAAATAAAGTCTCTAATATTAACAACTCAATCTAATGTACAACACTGAGATTTTCAATGGTTAGTATCTGATAAAGCACAACAGTATCCCACGGCTTTCAGCAAGAGCACTCACCTCACAAGGAACTTGAGCTCCAAAGGCCCTGAAGTCTTGGAGAAGTCATGATCAAGGACTTTACGATCCAGCTGGAGCCAGTTATTCTGGCCACTGAGCCGGGGATAAAAGAATAAATCATATGTTGGAACACTGCGATTGTAATTTTTCTCTTTTCTTTCTCCCCCCTCTCTAAAGGCTTCTGTAAACAAGGATTGGTTCTAAATCAACCAATCCCTTTAATTAAAGTCAAATTAAACACAAAAACAGACACACACTAGAGCACTGCACTTTTTGTCTGTTTTGTTAGGAAATGTACTTACGTGTCATCTATGAAGGACAATCCAAAGTATTCTTTCTCTTTCAGGTTAAAATGTGAAGCCACCAAATCTAACAGCTCACGGGACAACAGCTTGGGCTAGAAGGTTTAGATTAAAACACAGGAGTTCGGTTGAGATCATTTGTATGCTAACTCAACAGGAGGGTGCTACACAAAATAATACATGTGACATTCATAAAACATTTTACTGAAAAACTGACAAATAAAAAGAAATAAAAGCAACATAGAAGTAAAATTAAGACTTACTTACAATAACGAATCATCATTAAATCCTACACAATTTCAGTGCATCAGCATAATCTTTAGGGTATGCAGTGTAGTTGGTGCCTAATAAGGCTAGAGGAAAGTGTCGACTACCTGAACCAGCAGCTCCAGCTTCCTGCCATCCAGGAGGTGAACCTGGCACAGACGGCCCTCGGTCATCTGCAGGAAGACAGATAACATGAGACATGACCACTCCTGCAAGGCAGCACAGCACTCCACCTCCACCTGTACCTCTCCACTCAAAGCTGTGCTTCCATTATTTCAGCCTGGGGATAAAATGGCTGCTTTTCTTTCTCTCGTTGAACAGTGACTCACCGCAGTGTCATGTTTGTCTTTGTGTTGAATGAATAGGTAAGAGGAGCCACTGGGCAATTGTTCATATGGGACCCATGCTCCAAAACATCAAAGTCACTGCAAGATCATCAGAATTATTTGTTTAAAAAAGTCCCACAGAGAAATTACAGGCATAAATCAGCTCTTTATAAGTGCACCATGAGTCATAAACAAAGAGTCTAAGTTTCTTTTGCTAGTAAGAATTCACACATGCTATTGTCTTTATCCCCTCACACGTCCTTCCTCTGCAACAACACTGGTCTAATGAAAATTCCCTGAAATGTCAACAGCCCACGTTTCCCTCTGCCGTTAAGAAACGAAACCAAAAGACAATGAAGTCCTGGTGCATACTTTAATTGAATTCCCACTGTATTGTCTAAGATGAATGGCTTTAAGATTCATTATGTTGCAGTCAGCAAAGAAGTGCCTTTCAGTGCAGGGCAAGGTAGAAATATTATTGTGTGGTGATGAATATTAGCCAAGCCATATTCCAGTGGGTTAAGCTGCTGCCGACATTCAGCCTCCTATTCTGATATTTCAAAATATTTCTTAATTCCTCAGTACAAATTCAGATGATATGGTGTACATATAATGTGCATCTAAAGTGTAATCTCTGTTGTTGTAATCTTAATATTCCAGTAGTCATCATCCTAAATAATGTAGGAATTGATTTAGCATTGTGGACTGCGGCATTATTTTATTTATTTCTATGTGCTCGCACAGTTCATGCCTTATTCAAGTGTCACCACAACAGTTGTTCAGTGCAAGAAAACCCACTTTGCCACCTTTATTTAATCAATCATTTTGTAGGTAAGGTTATATTCAGTACCAAACAAAACATTCTAATGTTGAAGAAATGGTTCAACATTTGAGAAATGGTCTATATTGCTTTCTCACCTAGAGGTAGATAAGAAGATTGATACCACTCTCCTGTCTGTGCTGCAGTAGGTTACTTTAATAAAAGTAACTACACAAGAAGGAGCCAGAGGAACCTGTTTTTTTCACAGATTATCAGTCTTTGTCCTACTGCCATGGATATATCGAAAGTTTTAGCTAATATGACAAAAATTAGTTTTATAAAAATTACCTACTGCAGCATTATTATAAAGCTAATAAAGCTCTCCAACAAATAACAGGTACACACCAATATCTATTGTATCTGAAGTTTGCTAATATTAGCCACCATAAGTTATACTGGTCATACCAAATCAAGTAAGGCTGATGCAAAACCCTGAGTGTATTGAACTGGGCAAGGCTGTGTTTTGTTTTTTATGAATTCAACATTTAATTTGTATTATTTCTTCTTTCAGAGGTTACATAGTCTCACTCTAAGTATAACAAGCTTGAGGTCATTTACCAAATCCTTTATTGAATACCTCACCACCAACTCACCATGTGGGTAAAGGCGAGGTCTGGAACACAACAGAATAAATCCACATAATTAAAGCTACTATATTATTTTTTAAATCCCTGACTTTGGTGCCCCCAAGTGGCAGGATGAGAAATGAGACAGTGGAAAACAGCAGTGCAGGCCAGTACCCTGTTTTATTTATTAACAAAATAATATCCCTTATCTCATAAAAAGATGTAATGTGAAAGACGCTATATTATCTCATTGAAATTCTATACATTGTGGCTTTAATGCATTAAAATGTACTTTTATTGGTTGGGAAATCAGTATAGAGTCAGAAAGAGGGTCTTGCTCATACTATAAAAAGATATCTTATTCCATCATTCTGTGAAACCTCTGTATTATCTTATGTGGGCATGAGCAGTATTTGATCATATATAACGGTTTGATCTCAGTGATGCCTAAATGCCAAAACTGTGTGTTCCTGTTGACTGGATGTTGTTTGCTGCCCAGGAATGTGTCCTGGGTGCCTTTTATTTCTGTGACTTCAGTGAAAAACATGTGGCATCCAACTGCTTGGCCTCTGCGATGGAAAGTGAGGGTCATGTTAGTGTGGCCACAGGGCAGGAAGGCACTTTCTGGCGTGGTGTGAAACTTCAGTCCGCCAGGACATATTGTTCTCTGCACCACAACAGAGCTGTCATTTCACTTTTATACTATAAAGTGTACTTTTCCACTTTGTTGTTTTTCAACGCCCTAAACCTCAGTGAGATTTATGGTGCAGTGGCTAAAGCTGTACTTGTCAACAAAAGGGTTTCATTTGCAGTCACGGTAACTTACTATTATACTAACTTAGGATTTCAACACCATACCCACTCCTACTACTATCTGATATGAGCTGCACAGCCGGACCTTTATTTAAGCTCCATATCTCAGTAGTCCAGAAGAGGCAAGAATCTTTTTTTATAGACAGAAATAGGAAAAATAAAGAAGTACTGAAGCTTACCTCAATGAAAACCACAACCTTATTTGATTTTTCTTGATAGGGAAAATAATTGTGGTTGTTAATTACAACGTTCCATAGATTAATCTAGGATTAATCACTATGGTAACCCTTTCATTAATTGTTGTGGCCGTCCAGTGCACAATCCTCTCAAGAGCCTATCTATCAATGCTGCATTGTTGCAAGGCAGTGACATCAAAACATGGAGAAACAGACAGGGCTCGAGCAGTCTGATTTTAAGCTCATAGCCAGCTATTGGATTTTAGATTCACCTTCAAGATCTATGCATGTTACTCCAAATCTCTTCTTTTTTGTCTTTTTTCCAAATCCTAATGCTCAACCACAAAAATTCATAAAACCTTAAATTAATTTGCTCCCTTTGAAGATGTAGTGTATTTGATATGGAGATACTGTAGAATATACTATTGCATGAACAAAGTAGCACTGGCAAAGCTGCCAGTGCTGAACAGAGGACCTGAGCTTCGAGGTCTCCAATGATGAAAAGAAAGGTCATGACTGTGTCAGACAGGTCATCCCCCTGAAGCCCTGTCATTATGGGCAGAGGGCCCCCGATGGTGCTCTCTTCACATGACCCCCAGCAACACTGACCTACTCAGCCCGAGCTGGGCCCACCCTGCAGCTCTAACCACATCTACAACCCAACGCTTCACCCGTTGACCATAAGTAACCACAAGCTAAGTGGGAAATACTTGTATCCACAGTGGTAGAAAGTAACTAATTACATTTACTCAAATGCTGTACACTTTACTTCACTTTAGTTCATACTTCTTCTCTGCTGCATTTCAGAAGGAAATGTTATGCTTTTTACAGCATTTATTTAACAGCTTTCACAAGTTACTTTACTAATTAGGATTTAACAGACAAAACATATGATTGGTTTATAAAATATTACGCATTGTTATAGTTAAAAGTAGTAGCTTTTTACCTCTGTACTTTTTGGTGAGTGAAATTAGGAATTTCACTTGTAATAGGGTTTTTTTCAGTAAATGTTCTGAATACTTCCACTACTGCATATGTGATTCTGAAGTGGAAAAAAAAACAATATTCCGGTATGTGGTTTTAAAGGTAAACAGATCTGATACTTGTGTTACTTCTGAGAACTCTTTTAAAGAGAAAGCAAGATCCTCACATGACATACACTGATGAGTATCAGGTGTATGTGCTTTTAAAGGGTACTGCCTAACTGACAGAACTTCTCGGAATATTGTAATTTTACTTTGTTTTGTGTCACCTTGTCAATTATACTTTTTATACCTTGTTTCAAGAATTGAGGAACTAGTAACTAGCAACTAGTATTATCAAGATGATAAAATGATGATGATGTCTATTCTCATGTAAAGAACGTAATTTCTTTACTATAAATCTCTTTGAGTTGCATTTCTTGTATCAAAGCTAAAAATAAAGTTTATTATTACTATTATTACTACTACATTACTACTTTTATTATGAATTAGTAACTGTTATGGAAAAATAGTCTTTAACATAAAAGTCCCAAAAGCCATCTAATACAAATAAAAATGGAAATATGCCGGGAAAATGCAAAAAAGAGGAACCTGAACACTCCTTAAGTTTACACAGTTTATGTTAGCAGGTAAGATGTGTTAACCACACACTGTGTTCAGGTGTTCCGGCAACAATGCATTTCAAAGACAACTTTGAAAGGTCTCCTCTTCAGCCAGACAGTGAGATCAAACGGCTGGTCATGCTGCTTTCTAATGACTGCCATATGCGCTGGGAGGGACCCTTGTTAAAAACAGACTTTGTGACTCTCCAAGAGGCAGCCTGTGTGCTTCCTCACACTCACACAAATAAACACGTGCATACACTAATGAGCTAGATGAGAAAAACTACTGACTCACTTCACTCTGAGGGAAGGTTGAAGGGATATAATAGGTAATAACCCGTAAAAATCCAATGGCTAATCAAAGAAATCAATCTGGCACTGGCACAGTAACCATTTACATATGCTGTCAATAAAGCAATCAATAAAACACACTATATTTAAACCCTTCTTTCCTTTTCCAGAACTCATTTATGCTGCCATAGCTAGGTAGGAGCTGTCATACCTGGTAGCATTTTCCAATCCTGAACCAGGCTTCTAGGAAGCGTCTGCATGGCATCAGCCCACGATTGTACCACCTCCTCAAGGTCTGATGTGCCAGGCTCCAGACGATCTGGCTGCCCGAAGCCACCAGGTCTTCCATTCCACGTATGATGCGCACAGCCATGGTTAGCTGCCTTTTCTCCCTGACAGCCAGTTCCTGCCTCTACTGATGAAACCTCAAAGCCACCTCCCAGAACCAGGAGAAAAGATGGATCTGCAGGCCACTTTGTTTTGCTTCAGAGCAACAAGCTGAAAGGAGCATCTACACTCCCGCACACACACACATACACACATACACAAAGTCTACTGTGTCTCCCCAGCTGATGTAATGTTAGTGAGAGTCGGCGCTCTGGAGAGGCTGGAGCGGAGCAGCGTGCCTCAGGCTTGGTCCTGGGCCCCGGTCCAAAACACTGCCTCATAGAGTGCAGGGGAGGGCAGGACAGAACCATGAGGCCCCTGCTGCAGAGACTACATCTCCCCTCTACATAAACACACTTGTATACAAACACAATGTACATGGAAACAAACTCCGGTTGGCCACTCAACCTTTAAAGTCATAAATACTCCTCACTGACTCACAGTAAAATAATGGTGAAAAGGTTTCGTTTTGCTGGTCCAGGCTGTGATTTTTCTCTTCTGTAAAATAAAGATTACAAAGTTAAATTGCACCAAAATATGTTCCTTTTCAGTTTTGCTGATGACTTCATCTTTTATTTCATTGTTTAATTTCAGCACTTATTTCAGTTTCATTGTCTGAAAACGGGTGTGGGAATGGTCACTTTGTCTGGGATGTGAAAGCTATTTCCTGGCGAGACCAGACATCTCCACCCATTATGTTCTGCAGGAACACTAAAAATAATTGGTCCTGTGTGGATCAGCAGGGATGGCAGAACTGACAGCGCAAAAACTAAAAGTGAAACTGTGGGGAAAAAACATTTAGAAAGGCTTTTATGTGAAAATGTAGAAGTAAAAGGCGCTTGTGAGTCACAACCAGAGATGTTTCTTTGTATAGAGCTGCAATTAATAAGCAAATGTTGCACACAGGCTGTACACCTGACTCAGATAAACAAGTCAGACAATACTAAGAAAAGCAACACAGAAGAAAAAGAACACGTGGAACAGCTCTCAGTGGAGACGTGTTGCGGTTCATCTGGAAACAATATCCTGCCGTTTGTTTATGTGACCCCATTTTCCACGAACGTTTAAGTATCCACAGTCAACATGGTGCTGTTTCATTGAACATGATGACCATAATTGTCTCAGAGCAGTTACACTGTAACCTCGATATCTGCAGTAATAGCACAGAGAATGATGTAGACTAAGAAGCAGACCTGTTACTGAAATTTCTATCAATAATTCCCAAAAACATGGCAAGGAAAGTAAATAAGTGATGTTTTCTGCCTCATCAACTATTACTGAGGAGGCAGTGGAGCTGCTCAGACAGTGGCAAACAGTTTCCTAGTTACAGATTGTTCCCTATGTGCTCAGTCACATTATGCTACACAAATAAATAATAAACTAAATCTTAGCGGTGCATGTAAGCATTAATCTGCTGCAGAGCATACATGTTGAAAATGAACATATCAATTACCACGCCTATGCAGGCAGTGACCTGGCTATACTGAGCGCTGGAAGCAACTGTGACATTGGGTTTTATGAAAAAAGGGAGTATGAGAAGAATATGAATTAATCTTCATCCAGGCACAAACAGATCCATATACTGTACTGTACTCTCAAAGAAATAGTTCACTTTGTGCAATAGCCTTTTGTACTATCTTGCCAAGAGTTAGATAAGATTGATACCACTCTCATGTCAATACATTAAATACAAAGCCAAGAGTCAGTTAGAGTGGAAACAGGTGGAACCAGCCAGGCTCTGTCTAGAGGTAAAAATCTCCCCTACTATCACCTTTAAAGCTGACTAGTTAACATAGTACACTAACAATAACATTAACATAGTATATCCAGTATCTCCAGCATTCAGCCCAAAAAGCCTGATTTCACAGTAGCTTTTCTAAAACATTGCAATGCATGTTGTGTTGTTTTAAGCATTTTTTTTTGCACAGAAATTGTGTGAGAAAATGAAAATTGTAGTAGTTTGGGGACGTATGGCTCAGTGGGACTGCTATGATTAGTGAAACTCGCAGGAAACAATAATGACTGGTAAAATTTGCAGAAAAGATGCAGTGGTTGGACAAAATTGCACGGTCGTGCAGAATTGAATTTGCGTTTGTTGTTGTGATCGCATCAATCGATTAAGAATAACAAATGTTAGGCTATAAACGGCAAGCTACTGTAGCTCACACTGACGAAAAAGTTAATGCTGATTCTAATAAAAGGTGTCAGAACACAGTGCATCACAGTTTGGTGGTATGGGGCTGCAGAACATTATGACCACCAGGGTGCTCAGATTGTTACGGCTGATCCATGTATGCATAAATTCATTCTGGCAGGACAGTTAAAGATATAATATGTAATGTTGGTTGTGTAGTCTGCTGTTCCCAAATCTTTCTAACAATGTTCAAATCCAGAGAAATATGTAAATATTTGAATTCAAGGTAGCGGTGCGTTTCTTTTGGTCGCCTATTAATGGCATTATATCCCCTTTACACCCTCTAGGTGCTATAACCTCCAGGGAAACACGACAAACAGCAGATGATTTGTCACAAAATGCGGAAGGAAGTCAGCAAACATGACTAAATGTTATGTGAATAAAACTTTAACATTATCTTGTCTGTGAACTTAAAATAGATTTTCATTGGCACTGAATGTAAACACAGAGCTTTTTTTTCTCTTTGACAATTCCAACAAGGTTTATTCAAACAAGACAACCTCCTTAACAGTGTTGACAAAACAGAAAGTATAAGGAAAAAAGAGAAATATGGAGAAATAGATGGCTGTAAGATTGAGACTGTCTGTTCTGCAGTAAAGATCAGTCTTATATGACAGCAGTCTTGAGACTACAGTTATAGCCACAATATGTAAAATACTACTCTAATAATATTAAAATAAGATCACTACAATTTATGACAGATCTATTGACAGCAGCCATGTGGGAATTTGATCGTTGATCATGCAATTAATAATGCTTTGTGGCCCCTCCTCAAACTGCACGTCAAAGGACAACAAATCTGGCAGAACTAATTCTAAAATTAGTTGGGGGTAACCAATTCTCAATGTGGATCTGTTACCAATGGGCAGAGCCAAGCTAGCTGTTTCCCTATTTATGCTAAGCTAATCTAACGTACTGCTGGCTGTAGCTTCATTGTTACTGTATGGACGTGAGTGTAATATCAATCTTCATCCAGCTCTCTGCAAGGAAGCGTATACATAGCCTGTATTTTCCAAAATGTCAAATGATTCCTTTAACTATACTGAAAATAAATAAATCCAAGCTGACTGTGGTTGTTGGCAGTGAATAGCCTGCTTTATTTTTTTTATTTTTTTTTATTTTAAATACACTGATATTCTACGCTTCTTTACATATACTGGAGGCTGTCTGGCTGTCTAGCAGAAATTCAAATAAACATGAGAATAATAGTACAGCGTTTAACCACAAATAATACTGAAACAGCAAACGTGCTGTTACATTGTAAGGAAACAATTTAATTCCTGTGCTGTCAGTTAAAGCCTTTTTGGGGCATAAAAATGTCCTAACAGGATTACATATTATTGATGCTATAATCCACTACTGCATAAACTGGATGGATCTGTTTCTAGAGGGCAGGATTCATCATCAGAGACCCATTCTGAAGGTATAGATTCACCGTAACCAGCTAACCATGATAAACACAGACAGATGCGCGAAGCCACAGCTGCCTGGAGCGACAACGGGCAAGACAGCCAAACATATGGTGGACACAAGCCGCTGTTGATCACGCACATGATCGCCACATGTGTAAAGTAGAGCAGCGTGTTCTGGTCTACATAATGTTAATAAATACAGGGTTTGTGATCCATCTGCCAGCACAGAATTTCTGTAAAATATCTGTAAAAATATCTGCCAACATTCCACTTTGATCACTTTGATCAAGAAACGTTTCATTTGGAAATATGCATTTAACATTTATTTAAAAGTAATTTTTTTAGGAGTATAAAATACATCAGATAACTTAAGTACAGTTTATGCAGAGCAGTCAACCAAAACAAACACAAAGAGTGGTTATATTTCAATGTAAGGGCATGCAGGGATTGTCTCTAGAGCTACGCACACTTCCTGTGAAAACACACACGCATTCACACATATGCCAAATGGCTGCTGGCAGCAGATAATCCCTGTTGATTTCCACGCTCTATACTGGGGTTTCGGTGGGGTGAAGACGTAGGAAGGGGTAATGACCTCAACTAGAATCAATCTCTGGGAGTCTATGCTCAGAGAGGGCACCCCAGGGGAAAGTGGGAATTAACTGCCTGTGCTAACTGTTAGAGATGTCTACAATAAGCAGTTTATCTGATCCTTTAGTCTGTTCACAAGTGTCCATGTCTCATCACTCGCTCATATAGCATCTTTTAAACTAATAACACATGTATGTATCATTATCATGCATACCTTCTCATTTAAACCCTCATTAACTGATTGTTTGGCCACTTGTGGGAAGTGGAACAACATAATATCTGACATATTATCACCTTGATTTATATGACAAACATGTTAACTAACAGTTGCACATCCAGTAGACATGCAGCTACATTAGCATTCATTTGGAGTTGTGTTTCTGTCCACTAGTCAAGTCCTATATTCAGTCTCGTTTTAGCTCTGTTCTGGTCTCCACCAGTTCTTAACAAAAATATCTAGCTCTTTAGCTACTTAACGAGCCGCTATGTTCACCAGCTATTCTTTAACTGTGTCTGTCTGCTGTCAGGTGCTGGACAGGTAGTGTGCTGGAAACAGTTTCCTGCTGTGACAGGAAACAAGGTTAATGAGCACAGTGATAAATTAAAGTTGTAGGCTGTATCCATCTTGCTGCTACAAATACCCAGAGCACCAAACATGGATTAATCCGCAGCTGAAAATAGTCCCAAACAAATGCACTATTTCCTCCTGTTTGAGTAATGTTTGATCAAAACTACAGTGACCAGCTGCTTTAGGAAATTACTGAAAATTCTTAATAGCCTTGTTTCTACAACACTGGCTATAACTTGATAGCCTGTTCTCA